TTGTTAAACCGAAAATTACTGACTTCACAAATTATACAGTTTGCCGTACGACAAACAGACCAGAGATTTATTGCATCCGTAGAGAGAGAGAGAGAGAGAGAGAGAGATCGAATCTGCAGGAAGTACGATACGTATAAATTCGAAAATTTTTGCATTTTTTATATTAAAATAGCCAATTGCACAAAGAGCGAATAAGAGTTTTTTCGAGAACTATCGCTGGGATCAAGGCCGATCGGTTTCGTCGACGGGATAAAAATCATTTCTCCGTTTCAATTACGGTAGATGTAACAAATTAAAGTGGCTCAGGAACAACGGTGGTCGTGCGCGCGGTCCCCGTATCGTTCGAACCGAGGAAATATGTGTGTAGATCATATCTCTCCTCTCTCTCGGTTTATCCGTGCGCCGATACCGACCCCCGTTCCCTCTATCATCCCCGTCCTCGCTCCCCTCGCCGGGTGGTTTACCCGTTGTAAGTCGACGACTCACTCCATAAACCCGTGCTGTGTACTCTGTACACTGCGGCGAGTTTGCACGCCAACCGAGGAACAGAGAGAACGAGATGTTATGCCGAGGAGGAAGGTAAAGAAAAAGAAAGGGGATAAACGCGATAACAGCTGCGAGGTAATTTAGATTCAATACGCTTTAATTCCGTTGTTCAACAATTCCAGTCTATTAGAACTTTATTTCAAGTTATGGTTCTATGAATCTGACACACCTCGACGAAATTAAAACTGAACCGTTGACCAGTTGGATCGCTAAGGCGTGTAGATTCGGTTCGATATTCGAATTTATTGTGAGGTCAGTCTAATAAAGCTCGGAAACGGACACGATGACGTCTGAGAGGGCCTGAAACGTGGACGATAGGGCAGCAGCACTTTGCCAGCTAGATAAGGGGTGCATTTGCGTAATCTCGCCGGCTTCGACACCTCGGAGGTTTACGAGGCGTGCCGCGAAAAATGCCGGGTTTCTCGGAGTAGCGTTACGTCAGCCACCCCGGGTACGCGTCCAATAATAGTTGGGATTCGAGAAGGCAGCGCTCGTAAATTACAGAAAATTCTCGACATATTTCCGTCCCGGTCTCGTTTAAATAGAACCACTCTCCAGAGAGATATTACTTACAATTTCCGCTAGAATTCCTGGTCGAAATCCGAAGTAGATTAAAACGAAATTCGATGCTAAAAACGGAACTGTGTTTCTTTCGAAAATATCCGGAAGGTGGTACGTTCGAAAGGTGTTCTTCTCAGCGTCGAGAGGTTCGACCGCGGAATGGTGGCTCGAACAAAAGGTGCGACGAGGTAAAATAGCGAGCAACCAAGGAAGGGAGCAAAGTGGCACAAAGAGGGAAGCGAAAGAGAGTGCGAGGCAAAGAGGCATTGGCTCGTGTGCTACCAGCAACAGGTGCCCGTCAAACAACGTTCAACGTCTCTAGCAAACCGTCTCTTTCTACCCCGAGCGCTGACCTTTTTCTCTTCCCCCGACACGCGATTTCTGCTAATTGATTCGTTGACGAAACGTGACAACCCCTGCCGATTCAATGACCACGTCGCAGATTTTTATGCAACACGCTTTTGTTATCAACTGAGAAGATCGTTTTTATCTTATCATTGCATATTTTCTATGAACCATTGAGTCTGCAGTATACAAACTAAATCTCCGGAATGGTTCGCGAGTTTCCTTATTTCGTTGGAAACAATAACGGTGGACGTAATTTGATGGTCCGTGGGTCCGACAAAGGACAGGAAACGGTAACGGCGGACTCCGCGGCGCCTCCGAATCATTACTCGGGCATGAGCCGCGCGATTAAATAAATGATACAGCATTATTCGTGAGAACTGGTCGACGTTGTTATTGGGTGAAACCCGATCGAGTTTCGCTGCCCAATTTTGGGAGGACTCGTTCTCTCTTAGAAATCTACGAACGGACAGACCCTGTATCTCGTAACACTCGACCGACTCTCGAATCCAGAGTTACGCGACCGATAACGTCACGCGAGACAAATGAATATTGTCAAGTTACTTTCCTTCGACGAGAGCCAACGGTTTCCTGATTGGAATTTAGAAAAATGATATCCAGATCGCGATTTCTTTTATCCTTCAAACGTGACATGTAGCCTCCGCGTAAAATTTTTCTATAAATGAATATAATCGATGTTAACGAGGATACGCGGCGAATCGTAAACGTAAAGGGAATTTCGGATCTTACGAAACCCGGTACGGAGATACCTTAATGGCTGGCTCGTAAAAAAGTGCGCCGATGGTATTACTGGGCAATTAAAAGCGGAGCATCAAAAGTGGCTGCCAGTTTAATTTCCTTGGCGAACAACACCTGCGTCGAGGACGTCGTAAACCCGGACTCTCTCGCGTTACCAATTTATCCGTCAATCAAAGTCCACCGGGCCCTGTACCGACCGACTCGTTACCAATTCTTATTTCGCAATACTGTGATTCCCTTTCTACACGTCATTACACTGTGTACAGGCTTATAATTACTAGACTGCGGATTTTCATACAAAACCATGTATTAGTTCGTAATGCTTTACATCTCGTACGTACTCCGTAGTACTTTGTATCTTTTTGTGGATTTCCCAGAATCGCTCGTGGAGGATGTGTAAACAGTAGGCAGTGCGAGCGCGACGACAATAGAGGGACAGGAAGATAAAACATAAACATAGATAAGACTCGGGGCACCCATGGAGGGAGCATTTCTGAGAATTGGTGGGTGGGGACGACTCGCGGCCACATATTCGGACAAAACGTGGCCATATATTCAGAGACTACTGTACGTCCGAAATTCATCACGCTTGTTCGTCCGAGGAAGCGGCAAAAACACGGATCAGGCGTGCAATATTGTAAACGCATCTGCCGATGTTGCAACGGCGAGAGGGGACGAACTCGATCACACATGATCGATCGAAAGTTCTTGAGCTGGTCCAGAATGCGTGCCACTCTTTCGAGGTTGAAAATTCCTCGAGGCCACGAATTAGCGCGAAGCCATTCGGGGCAGGCATAGCGCGAGCCACGGAGGCGAAACTGGAAAGGGCTCCACGGTCTGGCGATCGTAGCACGCGACACCATATGGTCTTCTCCTCTCGATACCCGTGACCCCTTCTTCTCTGTACACAAACACGCGCCTTCCTCTGCCCAAGATATTTTACCAGAGACCAGATAACGAACCACGAATATTTTCGCGAGTAAAAAATGTAGTATGAAAACCAGTTTAAAATTAGGAAGAACAGCAATGTATCCAGAGCAATCGCAAAATTGTGTCTACCCTCGACTCCTATAAGACCGGGTTTCAATTTTTATTTGGGGCGGAGCTGTCCTTTTCAACGAGCCAATATTTATGTTTTTCGAAATAAGAGCCAGCGATGTTTTCTTAGGGGACGTGTACCGGACACGGTCGAGAGAAAAAAGAAGGGTCGGTGGTAAACGATAAGTGAAGCTCCCGAGAGGACGCGGCCGGGAATACGGGGTTACGACACCCTCGAGGACACTAGAACGCTCATATCCTAATAGAAACGTAATCGCGTAGTCCTGCGCGCTGAATAAATTATTAGCAGGCTTACGGTATGGTCGCGGAGGGTTCGCGTAACACACCGTATCGGTTGGATTAACGGTCGATCTGCACCGTGGGATAGCACGACGATTTATTCGGCCGTGACTCTATGCGCTTATTTATTATCAGCAACTCCCCATTTACCCTCATCATTTATCCGGGATTTTTCAAAAATTAATAATCGTACTTTCATTGCTTCTTGTTTGACGAAAGATCATCGTCAGATACATCACATCGATTAGTATGATGTATAGAAAATATCGTGTGCGTTCTTGTTGAAAAATTATCAAGGGATCAAAAGAATCACGTACTGGCAATTAGTCGCGTCAACGTCGTTACAAAAACAATGAAGAATATTAATTAATCTTATCGATCAAAACCGAGTTATCGCGATTTTTACGGGAATGTCAGACCTTGATTTTTCTCGTGAAATTATCGGAGGCCCGATAAAAGAAGAGCAGAGACGTTAATTAAAAAAATAACACCTGGCCGGTCACGATCATTCGTCGCGCGCGTGAATCTTTTAGCCAGCGGGGACAACATCTTCCGGCGATTGGAAATAATTGAGGGGTGCGCGAGTCAGCTACCCTTTTGCAGCGACGACGTATTTACCCCTGCGTGTTTGCCGGGTAATCAGGGAAGTCGATGGTTTATTGACGATGTGCCCGGAATCGAAATGGACCTTTTACGAGGAACGCGAAATTATAAACCTCGTACGTACCCCGGTTCATCCTTCGATAAATCAGTTAAGCGGGAAACGAGAATTTAAACAGGTGCGAGAACGTATTTGATCATCGAGAAGCAATTTGTTTTTAGCTTTTCTCTTTCTCTCTCTTTCTCCTTCACTGCTCGAAGAAGAGAGTCGCGCGTACGACAAATATTTAACGTTCCTATCGATCGACATTATATTCCATTTAACGAAAAGGCCGCGGACACGCGCCGAAAAAAATATCAGACCCTGTTCGAACCTGAAATTTGTCAGACGATCGGATTCCAATTATGCAAACGACGAACCAAGTCTGTTAACGGGGAAATTAAAAAACGGAGAAGCGTCGCAATAAAAATCGCGGCCGTGTAAAAAACGAGTGGGGCGTGTGAGAAAGTTCGGATTACGTGCATGGGAAAACGTCTATCGGAGTTTTAGTTGGACTCTTGGTAAAATCATTATACTCTACAACTCCGCTCGTAAAGATTACGATCGCGAGTGGTCCCTGAGATCATTCGTGTGTAAAGAAAAAAAAAAAAGAGTAATTTACGAGCTAATCTAATTCTATCGTTCCTCTGTCGGTGGGTTTTATCAATCGCTGGAACGAACTCCCGATACATTCGGAACGCTATTATCGAATCCCGATTGCAGAGACAGGAAACACTACGTACTACACGCGTTTCATATGGACGTAAGTTAGAGGCATGCATTTTTATCGAATCTTTTTCGAGTCACTCACCCAGTGCTGCGTCGTCACGACCTCGCCGTCGGCTCCGTCGAGGGCCTGATAAACAAACGGGCGCGAGATCAGTTCCCTTCCTCAGATTCGAAAACGAAAACTGACGAGTGACTTAAAAAATAAACTATGAACGTAATACTCTTACAACGTTACAGGAAAGGTTCTAATGGATAAAAAAGAAAGGATCGGAACTTACATCCTTCTTTCTCTTCACGGCGGCGGGGCCTGAAACAAGTCGAAGAACGCGGGGATCATTTTCAAAATATTCTTCACTTGTACAATTTTGCGAGATAAGAAAAACTGACCAGGTGCGGAGTTTGGTAACCGTGTCCCGTTGGTGCCGGTGGGTGCCGCGGGGTTGGCAGCGGGGGTGGGCGTCCCCACGGATGGTGGTACACACCGGCTGCTTCCGAACGGGAAGTAAGGGGATTCAGGGGGGTAAGTGCTGCCCTCGACACTTCCGCCGCCCCCGCCACCACCTCCGCCTCCACCTGGCCCCCCGCCTGGCCCTCCCGCTGTCGGACCGTACGTTCCTCCCCCATACGTCTGGAAAAAACATTTTCCACCCTTACAATGAATGTCGATCCCGTATCCGCGATACAAAGTGGCTGACAATCGTTAAAACTACTGGACGGTCGTTTGACGGATACTTAGGGGATCGCTAATTCTATCGACTTTACGTAGTCAATCATATTTCTTATATCTCGAGCCTCTAGGTTGCAATTTTGCCCTTAAGCGAATTGTGTTCGAGGAGGGTTTATCACGGGTCGATCGGGTTTGTGTGAAACTGGAGTCTATGAGGTTTGTTGGAAAAGAGGACAGCAGGAAGATAGTCGAAAGAAGGCGACTCGAACAAACCCGTTCAAATCAATACTTCTTATCAGTCACGGTTTAACGTCAGCCGATTAGATACTGCTCCCTAGCGCCGTAAAAAATCTCTGCTATCATCTTTTCGTAGAAACCATTCGCATGTTCGAATCCAGGGAAGTCCCTTCGAAAAAGGAACGACCAACAAGGTCATCATACATCGCTAATTACCGATAAAATGAATAATTAAAACGTACTTCTGTCTGTACCGATAAGAATATACGGGTACAAGGTTTTTTCCGATGATAATTATAAACGGAGTCGAGCTTAGGCACACGAAAAAGACTTGCAGAGACAAGGAATATAGTCAAGGGTTAATTAACAATTGCAGGAGAAATGCAAACGTAGTGAGCGATGGAAGAAGAGAGTAATTTATCCAAACTCCGGGATAACTTTTCATCCGAGTTTAACCCATGCAACCCTCCTCGGTTCCTTTGTTCCACAAAATGTGTACGTACGTATACATTGAAATATATATGTAGATGTACAGGTATACATCGTCGCGAACGAGGGAGGAGGAGCGTAAGTGATATTAAAGCCGGAGGTTGACGATGCTCAACCCTCGGAATTGGGTAATTCCTGCCTCCAAAGAGGAAACGAACTTGCACGAATTAATCCTTTCCCCAAGGCTGCTCGAAATTTGTTTAAACGAAAACTACAGAGCACATTTTTATTTCTCTACGGCTAAGTAATATTCGAACATTATAACAAGATTGCCATGGCCCTTGTTACAAGAGAACCAGAGGAATGAAATCCCGGCTTTAGGGATAAACCTTTTTAGAATTTTAAACACGATGAGAACCGCTTGCCAAAAAATATTACTCAGACTAAAGTTTTCGGATTACACAGCGCCTTAGGAGAAAAAGGGAGTAACTTTTTCTCGGATAAATTCACCTCCGCGACTGTGCAATAATTATTGCGCCCGTTCCCCGTTTCTTACGTAATCCCTTGAGTTTTATCTTAAGATTCGGGACCCATGGTCAACTTATTTCAGGGGAGCCACTAAATTCGCGATATCGTTTCGTATCACGACCCGAGGAATTGAAAAACGTACTCACCATTCCGTTGTCCATAGTAGGGCCATACGGCGACTGGAAGCCTAATTTTTCTGCAACAGAGAACAGATCAGAATAGGTCAGAGCGTAATCTTTCACCGACGCGGCGGTAATAAATAAACCAAGGAAAAATGTAAAAAATTGTGCAGACCGTTGAAATGATATTTCTATACGATAACAGAGATCTGAATATAGATCGCATTTTTAAATAATCATTACAAATGTTTTTGTATCGTACAGAAGCGTCTGGTAATAAATTTGGCGACAATTTTTCAAGACGGCGGGAATAATATCGATAATAATCCGGAGAGAGCGTGGAACGATCTCGAGCAAGGGGGAGCAGCAGCAGCAGCAGCAGCAGCAGCAACGGCAGCAGGCTGGTTTATAAGAAGAGCCGCGGCTCGGTTGAGTCGATGCAAAATTAATGGCGGGGCATAAATTCGCGGTGCGTCTTTATAAATCAAAACCGCGATCGCGTTAAGAATCCGTACGCGTGTTTTCCGCGTTGCGGCTAAGACGCATGCGGAATAAACAACGAGGATAAACATTATACGAGGTTGCCGCAGTCGAGGGCTTCATCCGTTATTAATGCCCACCCCTTATACGCGCGCATGCAAACAGAGAAAGAGAGAATCTACGTGCGCCACGACGAGAATTTATGAGCATCTGGATTTACCGGTCTCGAAAAACGCACCGCACAATTTCAGATTAATTCTCGTTCGGTCGTATATATCATCGTTACGCCTTATTATCGTCTTCGATGACGATCGCCAGATTTTATACACTTACATCTCCGGAGAGTATATGTGTAATGTCACTTCACTCTCTCAAAAATCTGCTGTCACGCGTTTTTCGTGGCCACTAGTTGCTGGATAAGCATCGTTCCTTGTTCTACGAAACCCGGATGGTCAGACCGACGCTGAGCGAGCACCACCGTTTATCCAGTGACGATCGTCGTTAATTATTCTCGCAACTTTCGCCTCTCTTATCAAAGTCATAAGAGCAGAAGTTCGGGATAACCAGAGAAAAGGCCAGCGGAGGACCTCTACTGTGCTATACGCGTTGGACGATGGAGCGAGTGTCCGACGATCGGCCGAGATAACTATGAATCCTAACAGTTTCGGCTTGCTCGTGACATGTTTGCCGAAGCGTGTGCAGACACCGAGTCTGCAATATCATGCATCAAAGGACAAGCTAAACCATGGTCCATCGTGTCATCCTCAGAGTCCGGTGCAAGCCAGGCCGACCGTTATGACGTAGTGTCGACCGTGTCACGACTAGTTCGTCTTTCGTCTGCCGCCGTCACCTCCATCGAATATCGAGCCGAATGAAGAATCACCGAGCCCACCCCGGATCGACTGGGGGAACTTACGAGAGATCGAAGAATTCGACCGAAATACCAGAGGAAAATCCAAGTATCGCAGAGTTCGAATGATACGCTGTTACCAGTATATGAATTTCGGTCGGGTACGTCGATAGGGAATTAACGCGTAACACCGGCCGCGATACCATCTACACGGATTTCGGGCATTACAGCTCGCGAAACGCGGACGACACAACCTCGAAAACCGCGGCTCGCCGCGGCGAGCGGCGATTTTCAACGCGCGAGACACGACCGCGATTCGGTGGTCAGCCCGGCCTCGGCGTCGTATATCAGCCCGACACGCCATCGAATTAGAATTACCGAAAATTATTTAACCCGGACGACCTAACCGAATTCTATTTCACTTATCGATTCGACAAATCCTCCTGTAACGTCGTTAATACCCGAAAAATCCGAACGAATCACAACTGATCAGGTCGACCGCGGATCTAGAAAAATTGTACATCGACTGACCGGCTCGATTGCAGTTAACGACGGTACAAACGTTTCGCGTACAGATTCACGCTCTAGGGATCGACCAGGGAACGCGGGGTTTCATCGCGGCTAAAAAATATCCGTGAAAATGCTGGACACTTTCAACGTTGACGATCCCGTAAAAAAAGCGCGTGCTACGCGTGAAAAAAACAAGTGCAGGTATATAAAACACAAGGAAACGTATCCGCGGTCACGGAAAAAAGGCCAGAAGGGTTTCCGTGTTCGACGCGATACGACTGACTTATCGTTACCATTAACTCGAGTCCCCGTAAACTCTGATGCGTCAACGCCTCTGGTCGTTCGCCGAGGTAAATTTTGAAGAGAAGATGGTTAAAAAATGCAGAACGAGAGTAACGAAGGCCGAGCTTAATGAACAGACCGCAAATCTTTATGGAAAATGAAACGTTTCAAAAATGCATCTTGTTCAATCCTACGAATGCAGTCTATTAATTGGCGACGAGCCTCGGCAATGTGGCGAGCGGCGGAATATTTAAGCTGCATTTAAAAGAATCATACGCTCGATGAAACGTGCGCAACGCGTCTGTACTTTGACCTCAGATTCCAATTTTTTCACCCTTTCTCGAAAAACGATGCCTGATCCGCGTGGGTACCTTCGCCCGGACCCACCCTCGTGAAACTTAAGCTACGCGTCCGAGAGAGTCTGATTTTTGATCGCGATAGGTGGGCCGGGAGAATCGTGGAGGTGTAAGCACGTTGAGAATTTCGTGAGCGAGTCATCGAGTTGCCGAAAAATCGAACGCATCGGGAAAAAATCTGCTGGTTCGATCTCTGACGAAGGAGCGAGAGAGGAGTCAAAAAACATGAGCGAGCGAAATAATGGAACACCTGCGCGTCTCGGAGAGGCTTTAACTCGATTATCTCCCTCGACGAACAGTTTTTTATGATCGCGTGTAAATTTTTAATAGTTGTCCTTACGGCCCGAGGTGAAGGGTTTTAAATGAAACGGGTCCCTTTTGGATATCAGTTTTCCTCCTACATTTTTTTCTACGTTTGCCAGACACTCGATACGTGGACTGCCACCGTGCAGACCCACGCACCCCGACGAGCCTATTTCTATGGGAGAATTCGCGTGTACGGCCGCCGCGCCGGTGCATCGTGCCACGCGACCCAAAAGGGTGTTCCAGGTTCTCGCAGGTATAAAAGAGAGGGGAGGAGAAGGAAAAAAGAAATTCGCGGCCAACGAGAGAACAGAGGGGAAGAAGAAGGGAGAAGGTTTGCTACCCTTGGGGCCCTCGACCCCGACACCGAGGAGGGGATACGCACGCAGAGGGAGGAAGAATAGAAGACCAGTAGAGAAAGACGAAAAAAATGTGAAAAAGAACTCAGGTAGCCACCGGTGCTCAACCAGTTTGATCTTCTAACTATTCTCGATATTACATTACACGATACGCAAACATGTATTTCCGATCAGAATCTTGAGACAATTACTGGACACGTTTCTATTAAGAAATATTCAAGAAAATACTTTAAGAGCACTAGCCACCGAGTATAGAGAATTTGACAACGTTCGTGAACAGAAATTTGAAAGGGACCAGAGCGAAAGCAACGAACTGAGAATAATTGGAAGAGCGTGCACACCATTGTATCGCCGGCTCTAAAACCGCAGGGTATTATACGCGTACCGGATCCCAGGGCCTTGGTCACGAACGGAAAGCGGATTCACAGAGCGCCGTAGCCGAACCGGACGACTTCTCCCAGTGCAGCGATATTTCCCGAAGCTAGCCCTTTGATACACTGGACCGGTGTGCAAAAGGAAAGAGCAAACGTTTTGAAACCGTTATCTTTCCGGGAACGAAGATAGCACGAGCATGAAAAATTGAAACACCGGGCTCGAGTGCAATGAAAGATCGTACGAGGTGGGATGAGATTCCTGGCGGTGCATTCAACGAGAGAAGCGCGTGGTAACGCGGAGAGAGCCGGGCGAAAGACGGGGAACGAGGAAAAAGGAGATGATCCGTTTGGGAGTAAACGGAACGGCGAAGGTGTATTTTGTGGAGGAGAAGGCTGGCTGCCACGCGACCATGGGGTTCCATAGTGGGGATTGCCGGGCCCCGCGGGACCAAGAGGGCTACACGGCCCCGGCAAAAGGGTCCGAGACGGAGCGGTGAGACATGGACAGCGAAGACAGGGAGAGAGAACCGAGAAACGGAGAGAGAGGAGAATGTAGCAGCAGCAGCGGCAGCTGTCGCTGTCAGTGGCCCCCTTCGTGTTACCCTAGAAGGGGCCCACCGGAGGACAGTGGCGCAGATCACGGGGGCTCCAGTGATTCTCAAACCAGACGTTCTCCGAGTAACGCCGTTCGTACACGACGACGCGGATCGATAACGAACGCCGACGATATTCGACACGCTGGCAAAATATTTAATCGACGGTAGTATCGAAATCTTGGATGTTTGGTATCGAAATACTTGTTGAAGCAATATTAAGTCTGAATCACTGTTCATTCGATACTCTGCTGTACCATGAAGTCATCGATGCTCGCTCGACGCTTCGCAGCTTTAGAGTACAGGTTTTCTGTTCACGAAAATCTCAGGGAAGAGATACTCGAAGCGACTTGTGTTCGACGCGAGGATTCCTCGATTGGCGAAAAGCGAACGGGATTCAAAAAAGCGACGAAAACGCGTGAGAGTGCGCGCGCGCGCGCGCCGCCCACGGCACGTGGCGTACACGTGCTCCGGTTTCCCTCCGCCTCCTTCTCGCGCCCGCTTCGATTCGCACGGTTCCGAGCAACGTTAACGCGAGTTTTCATTCACGGATTCACGCGTGAACCACCGCGGAGGACCACCACCGAAGGTAGATACGAGCAGAAGGTAAATCCTCCGGATCGCCCTCGAGGCGACTCACGTTCAACAGGTGAGAGACTGCCGCCATTTTCGCCTCCACGTTTCACCAGCACGCATTTCTCACGCGTCCTACCACCGATTCCGAGACCATACAACGTCCAATAAAAAGAATTTTGATTCGGGTTTGCGTTTTTTAACGAAAACATTCGAGAACTCGTGAAACGATTTCGTTCTCGAAGCAGAGAACGAACGGACGAATCTCGACCGAAGAAAGTCGCAGAAGAGGCAAAGATCCAAGGATCCTTGGGTGAAATCAGAGTGGAGATTCTGTGGGATCTCGGGGGAAAAGGGGGCATTGACGTCGTTCGAAGGACAGTGGCACCTGCCAAAAAATCAGGGCCCCCTTCCCTCTCGGCGCCAGGAGCCAAATGCACATTTGTTCGAAGGCCCCGGTGTCGCGTGTACGTAGGTATACAGAGGTGGGCACACGTGGGCCAGACTTAACGAAATCTGGCCAGATGTCTATTCGAAAACGTGGTGCAGGTCGGCGCCGAACCCACCAGCGGCGCGCACTTGCGTGCACTTGTGCACGCGCTCAAGACCAGAGCTCTCTTTTCGCACAGGTGGCGGCGCCGTACTCTTCCTGCCCAGTTCTTATCGATCCGCGATCGACCTTTCGTTGGAGAAACGCGAGATCGTGTAACTCCTTTTGCCGAGCGAAATTATTTTTAGAACCGAGAAACGAAAGGATAGACCGCAGGCCAAGAGATTCCTCTGCCTCTTAAATGAAATAATACCAATAATATCACGAAGCATTCGGTCGATCGAGTCGGATCAAGAGAAGAGGAAGTTGAGAACGGGGTCTACGCCAATGAGGCAAGGGAACAACAAAACGCGGCATAGGTTCCTAAGGGTAGTGTGCGGTCAAGCTGCTGAGAGACTCTGGCTGAGACGATACGTCTTTCGAGAGCAACGATCTACGATCTTTCCGAAACCAGGGATCTGGAATGTTTAACCGATCAGCGAAAGGGACACGCGCCAAATACACGATCTCCTCTTTTTGTCGGTCTCCTGTTTCGGGTAACCCAGTTCTTGCGGCTAATGGACTTTTGCTCTTGGCCCATGGAACATCGCAAATTTACTGGGGAGAAAGAGAAATTCCGAAAGACACGATTTGCGGGAACGAGAGAGAGACTGGGAGAGTTTCAGGACGAGATGGTGTTTCACGGTGTGGCAAATTCATATCGACCATAACGGGAGCGCGGCGAATGGCGGCGTACGTTCGGTAACGAGGGACTTGCATTAGTCAGGAATTCGAGTCGCCCGTTTCGCCAACTTCTCAACCCCTTTCCCCCCCTCGAAATTTCTATGCCCTGGGTTCTACGGGGTGACTTGAAAAACAGCCACGAAAGAGATCAATTTCAAATCAACATCGAAACGTAGTTCATGTAATTATTATCCTCTGGACTTCGCGACGCGTTTCATACGCACAAAGCAGAAAAGAACGGAGTATCTGTTAGATTACTCATATTCGACCTTAGATCGTGGCAAGACGGATGAAAGAAATTCAAGTGCATATTCAATTAAACGCGTTTCAGTTCTGCGTTAGATACAAAGCGCATCATCAACTGGTTAAACATTTTATCTTGTTTTTTCCTACTCGTCGGCGGGAGCGATAACGAGAAATCGTAACAGTGGCCGACTGGTGGTATCTACGCAGATTTTGTGAAGAACGCAGAAAGATGCAAAACGCAATAGAAACAGAAGTGCAGGGAACGGCGGAAAAAGCTAAATTGAAAAGTGGTCAGCAACGATTACGAATTTTTCGCGGCGAGTAATAAAAGGCTTGGGTGATGACACGACTCGGTTGACCTATCGACACTGTACGCGCGTGTGCAGCCAAGTTTTATACGTACGGTCGTCTGCGTCGTCCAGATGGGATAGAAAGAGCGAGAAACGAGGTAGACGAGGAGGAAGCGATTACGATCACGGTGGGAGGATGCTCGTTGCCGAAGAAAGGGATCGAGGGGCCGAGGAGGATCAGGGGGTTTCGGGGCTGAAGGAGGGCTGGAGCAGATGCTCATCGGGCCCCAGCCTGTAAATGTAGATTATGCTCATTCTCGGTCCGTGTGCGTGCCCGTGGGTGAGACGCACTTCGGACTTGGCCTTTCCTAAGGAGACGATTCAAAACTCGAGTCTTTTCCTGATTTATTTCCCCTACGTCTCGGCTCGTTAGCGATCAAACTAATCGCGTTTCTCATATCATTTTTACTGTCAACGAAAGAAACGTTGCTGCCGGATTAAACGACAGAAAATTGGTTAAGGATCACTGGGTTGCGAAACGCGCTACTTGTTCGGGTAAAGGAGAATTTCCATACGTGTGCCATTGCGATACCGAAGAGTCGTGTGCGAGGCGCGTGTACGACCGAGACGAGAGGAAAGGAGAAGGCGGCAGGAAGAGAGGGATCTAGTGGGAGCGAGAAAAAAAGAGAGAAGGAGAAAGAGAGCAAGAGGCAGGTGCATCACGGTGACACTCCCTCGATAATTCTCCGGAAAAAGAAAGAAATCGAAAGAGGGGAGAGGAGAGAAGAAGAGAGAGTATCGCGGAGAACCGCGGGATGAACGGAGACGAGAAGAAGGAGAGCTAAGTCACGAGTGTTGTGTCTGGGGCTCGTTTATGGTTGTTCGGCTCAAACTCTCGCTCCAGGGAACGAGAGAGTTTCAGAAATGGCGTTCTGGGGTCAGATCGAATCGAACGCGTTTCCCTCGGAAGAGGTGATCCTCGTAATAATTGCGACTCGCGCTTGCGAAGACGAAACAGAATCGTCCTTGGACCAAATTCGAGAGCAGCGGCAATTTGTTGCGCTGCTCTTCGATCACACGGATAATTAATAGGAACAGGAATTATTTAGCCTTAGGTAAACACGTTTTATCGTCCCGCGGTTTCCCGAAACACAAACTGCGCTCCAGGTAGATTTACTCGTGAGTCATCGGCTGATAATTTTAGATCGAATCGACCATTAAAATCCGCGCTCTCCCGCCGGTACGCTGCAGCAATTACGAATCGTCGTGTCAAACATTTCGGAGACCAACTAAAACTACCTACGCGAAGGAGAATATTTCTCGAGTGCTCGCGTATTTTTAGATATCCTTGCACTTGAACCGGGTCCTGACCCTTCAAAAATTATGCCCGTGCTCCCTGTAACGGGAATCCCGCTTAAAACCCCCAAAAAATATCGAATTCCGGTAGCTGACGAATCAAACGTTCCAGGACGTGTCAGCAGCGCTGTTATTGGTCGCGTTTGGATTGCAATTGAAACGGTCGAACAAGGCTGACGATCGACGGTACCAAAAGGAATTAACCGGATTGTTGGCAATTGGCTCGATGCAACGATGCAAGTCGCCTGACAAATCTGACACCGCGCTCGCGTCGGAATCTAAACATCGGAATATAAATAAGAGTAAGCCGAGAATCGGTCACAAACGATCGACGCTGTATTTTCGAAACGTCGCCCTGGCTAAACGAATCGTATATCTAATCTCCGATCGAACCACGAGCTCGCGGCGTGTCTCGATAAATTTTTTTTAACGATCATTGAAACCAGTTTGATCGATGCTCAATAAGAATCTAGTTTACGTCCATTTAACAGACTAACGACGTTTCGGCCGATTCGATCCGTACTTTGACGGCACCAAGTATTTTCTAGCGAGTGCATTTGGTCGGGGTAACCGTGCACCTCCGACGTTTTACAAACAAGATCCCAAAACTAAACAAACAGGCGAGGCTCTCGATTGACCAACTACCCCGGACGCAACGCGCATACAGCAGACTTTACGATTCCCTTTGAGGAACAATTTTCGAATGATTTGACGACCGAGCCGGCGCTATCCTTATCAGGCTTATCGGAGATAAATCAAAGCAGCGTCGAGCCGGATAACGTGTTTTCGAACAAGCAGATACCGATATACGAGGTTAATCGTGAAATTGGTCGGCGCCAGCCGACGATCCCAGATCGAACACGTGCTGGAATTGACGCATGATCGCGAAAAAAATGAGAACCTCTATCGGTGCATCGCCCCGCGAGGAACTCCGCGTTCTCTCTTTCGGGCAGGTGTATGGAGAGGAAAAGACGAAAAAGGAAAAAAGAGAACCCTTGAGAGACCTCCCGGGGCTGTCTGCCGGGAAAAAGGCTCCGATTTATGGTCTCTTACATTATGTCCGAGCGATTAACCTCTAACGATTCGAACGTCGCGTAGCCACGTGGTGCGCGATCGGGGCTCGCCCAATCGTGGCTCGCCTTTCGAAAACCGAACGCTGTGCAATCGAATTAGTAAAAAATGATATACTGACATGATACGAGCTCGGATATCATGTTGTCCGACTCGTCGGCATGTCACGGTACGCGTCGAGGCAAGCGCCCTTGACAGGGACGAGTCTCTCGTGTCTAGGTTACGTTTCTAACATCTGGTCTCCCGTCGAAGAGTACTCGCATTGTTTAAACGATACATGATAATCGGTATACAAAGGGCACGAGATGCAAGGTAAAGAGCATGATCTCCGAAGGGGTTAGTTCACTTCGACGGGGCAGCACTGTCCAAAGCACTGACAGGCAAACCAAAACACAGAGGAACTAAACGGAGTCAGTCGAGACAGAGAATCGTTCGGCACGGTTTACTGATCGCGAGCTCGATAGAACAAACGCACAACACTCGATCTCTTTCAACGACAGCGGGTTTAACACAAGAGATGCAGCGGGACGCTGGAGAGATTCGATAGACGGGTGCTATTCAAGACACTAGACACAAGAGAGAACCTCGCCTCTGTTTGTTGGCACACGGTCACGCGCGCACACCGCAAGTATTATCGCGATCAATTAAGATTTGTTTGGCGCGTGACGCGACTCACCGGGATGCTTGTTGGCGATCTTATTGAAGCAGTTTTGAAAGACCTCGTAGAGATGCATCGGCTCGTCGTCGCTGGCCGCCATGTTTTCACGAGACGAGAAAACTAGTGGACGTCCGTGGTTGTGGCGAGTGGGCACGGTTTCGCGGTGCGGCCGCGCGTGGAGCCACACTCCTCCCGGAACGGTCACACACACTACTGAGCCACGCCGCCTCACAGACGAGACTCTTGTATTCCATCAGTGGCGACCCTAGCCTATGCCAGATCGCAGACGTCGCTACGCGCCAATTTTTAATCCCCTTCTCTCTCGTTTCACCTTTAACAACAACATTGTCCACGTGTTAAATGAAAATCGATTACTCTCTTTATTTCATTGCTGACCCACCGCGCCCGCATCCTGACAAGAATTACGACCCAGACTAGATCAAATACACGGTCATTTTCATAATATAGTAAAAACACCGACGAGATACTATTCCTTGGTGGTAGAACATAGGATCGCGTTGAACGCTTTCAGGAATTCGGACTGCTAAATATTTTTATTCACAATGTAAGTACAAATGATATATGTATAGAATAGAGTAGGAAACGTCGTCGTCTTGTTACAATGTATACCTCTACGTGTTTTGACTTATCGTTGTTATAAGTAGTTAAGATATATACACTAGAATTAAGAACTTATTTTGCATCGAACGTCATCGTTGTCAAAGTATGTATGGTACATAAATAATATCAGATCTTTTAACAATGCGTTCGTATAACGATGATGTATTATCGCGTTAGTTTATAAATTTCGTTGTTAAACTCCGGCAAAATCGGAATTTTGCGGAATCGGGTGAGATATGTCCTCGTAATCCTGTCGGCGCAAGCCTAGAATAGAAAAACGCTGATAAACGATAATTCCCAGTCCCCACCCCCACAGTCGCATGTACAACACAGGACGATAGGCTGGACGGCACACAAGCATCGCGAGCAGATAACTTAAGATAATTAAAGAAAAACATGTATAATGCAGTTGGAAAAAAATATCATGCACCTACTTAAAGCCCAAGTTTGTAGAAGCAACGCAGGTCTACTGAAAACACGGATACTGTGTCCAATCTATTACTGACCCATTGCAGGACTCGCCGTGAACATTGTGGCTAAACATCCACCCCTCGCCTGGCCTATTCGCAATAGATAGACACTTGTCACCACACGAACGATCATGTTTATGATCATAATCGCGGCGCTAAACTTCTCAGGTGCATCTACAAGTTCGTGCGATCAGATAGATACATCTTCTGCGTGGGGAGGTTAATAAACCATTTTAACTAGTTTATTTTTAAGTGTTAGTCTCGTACATTCAGTATAGTATAAAACTTACACAATAACGGAAAGTAGATGGCTAGCGTTACTACGTCAAAAAATATGGAAAGTACATTTATGATAAGTGCCTAAAATATAGACAAGTCCGTTACAAATGGTGTTGTACAATTGGTATCGTTCAAAACGATACAATCATGAAATCGAGCTGATTGCTTACGAGTTGAAGAGGCTCGTCTGATTCGATATTGTGAATGGCCCATAATATGCAAACGAAGAATAAGAGATTGTAAAACATTACAGACTTTGGGCACCAATACCCTTGAATACCCCTAAAAATGGAATTTCCCAACGATGTAATACAAAAGTTATACTGCCGACCATTGTACAAGAAATTGATTCTTACCATGTTACTAGGACTAAATGAATTGCAAATATCACCTGAAAAAAAAATCCCACAGGGTCACGAAAAAAGATCCGAGAACGCGGGACGATTGAGATACGTACGTTCCGATTATCGGACGTACAATTATCGCGGTAACGCGTGAATGGTCTCAACAATTTGAGAAACTTGTCAAACAAGTTGTTATGGAACCGTCTTGTCGCACTCGAAGTCCTTACAAAATTGTTTCACTCTGGGAAACATGCTCGGGTAACAGAACTACGTGAAAGCTTTCGCCGAGTATCAGGGATTATTAGACAACTGTTTTCTTAATTAAGACGCACGAAATATCGGACAGAAATTAATCGGGGCGAGTGGAGAAGCAGCGATAAAGGAAAGCAAAACTCAAAGTCAAACGTATGCGACGTGATACGAATTAAACTTGTTCGCAAGAGCAGATACTTACAGAATAGATTTCTCCCAAGGCAGATAGAGTATTAATTGATGATATTATATTTACCTTTAAGGGGTATTGGGATATGCTGGACAGGTCCGGCATTGTCGGAGTTTCGGTATACGACTCTAAACTACTATAGCTTCCTCGCTTCTCCTTTTTCAGCTGCTCGTATATTGGAACACGTCGATCTTTCTCTTCACGATTGTTCAAGTATTATTAAACTTTTCTTCCTCTTGTCAAACAATGCGTCACCAGTACCAGTGTACTTACTGCGTAGCGATGCACGTTCAGTAATATGGCGACCCACCGAAGCGCCGAAGCGTACTCGTCGCGTCATCTCGTGAGGAAATAGCAGAAACTTTGAATTTCAAAGTCTCGAGGAAACCGTTTGGCAGTAACTATCTCGTCATCGAGTGTATCAATTTTAATATCAATTATTGGACAGAATTAAAGCTGAAAATCCAGAGACGAGAACTTATTGTTTGATATAAAAATTTATTATTAAAGAAAACGACTGCTGCAATCTTTGACGCCCTCTAGAACGTATTACCACCGAAATAAGAGATAGAAAGCAAAACACTCGATTGATCTGCTGAACCGACTACTCGTTAGGAAGTATTTAACGATGGACGAAATAATTAATCGATTCTATATAGCGCGGTGTCTAATTACAAAGTACTCGCGCCGTATCACAACTAATTAACATTCCCTGGAACTGCTAATAATTCAGTTTAGATGGCGGTATCATTCAATCTATGGTTTGGACGTTAATGAACGGAACATCATTACGGAGCATTGTTGTAAGTTGTAACCGATATCACGGCGCATTATTAATTACAGCCGGGTGCAAGTGAGAAAGGGAGCACGGTTATAGTGTAATTCGCGAAAATCGAGGAAAAGCGAGGGATCGATAAGAAGATGCTAAGGAAGGGAAACCTTATGATTAAGAGCGTGCGACGCGTCACGAGGAGTTATCACGACGATGCGGCTGTTATCGGGACCACGCAAGATGCCAATACGCCGGAGTACAAGGTTAGAACGATACCTCGTGTGTAGGTGGCCCGATGAAAGTTTGCTTGTCCGAAATAAATGCCTAACGCCCTAAATTTTCAATCGATACGGCTCGGGCGAAGCCGCGATAGATATTGCGATGTTCATTTCGCAAGTTTTTCTCTTATCAGCGGAGCTGAGATAAGCCACGAATCGTTTATTCAAATGCGTTCACTGAAGTATGGCATGAAACAGTGCACTGAGTGCAGACGATCGCGGCGCGCGTTTTACGAATGTTGCGCGCTTCAATTTTTAACGAGGAACGCGGATTAAGGATGTATTGGCTATACAGTCAATCCCAAAAGTTTATGTACCTTAGAAAAACGCATTCCCTATAATTAAAAAGAAATCAGACGTCGGAAGAATAATGCTAATAATAAATAGTATTGACGCTGACAAAAATTTTCTTTTTTCAAAATTGCGAAAAATGCTTCAAATAAAAGTTGTTTTCCTTCTAACTTCGATATTTAACGAGTTACGTATGATTATTTGGCATTTTATTGATGTTGACAAAATCCGTCCATCCCAGCGTGGAAACGGCGAACTTTTGGCAAAAAATTTCAATTTTCTTTAATTACTCCTAAACCGTTGAATCTACGGGAAAATTGTATATGACCTTT